GCTTTCACACCGGAAAGTCACTTCATGGAGCTGGCGGACGGGACGAGAGCGAGTGGTGTCGCGCTAAAGAGAGGAGCGGCAGAAGTCTACCTGCAGGACAGCGAGGGACACCGTGTAAAGGCAACGCTGGAAGGAGCACTTTACATCCCCTCATATCCACAGGACATCTTCTCAGTCCAGGCAGCGACGACCAGCGGAGCAGCAGTCACATTCAAGAAAGGATGCAACCAACTTGTTCACAAGAATGGTACAAGGTTCGACATCAATGAATATGGACGCTTGTACTACCTGAGTACAGTTGAGGTAAACAATGACTATGATGAATGCAATGGATGTCATGATATTGAAACTTGGCACAGAATTCTTGGACACTGTAATTATGAAGATTTGTCTAAACTAGAAAATGTTACTATGGGTATGAAGATCAAAGGGAAAGCTAAGCAAGATTGTAAAGTGTGTGTTAAAGGAAAGTTTATACAAACCAGAAGTAGAGAGCCTGACGAGAGAGCAAAAGCGGCGTTAGAGCTAGTGCACACTGACTTAGCGGGACCGATTGACCCAGAGGCAAAAGACGGGTTCAGATACTCTATAGCTTTTACTGACGACTATTCAGGTACAACTTTTGTTTATTTCTTGAAAGCTAAAAGTGACACTGTAGAAGCGATTGAGAAATTTCTAGCAGATGTCGCCCCCTATGGGAAAGTGAAAAGAATCAGATACAGACAACGGCACAGAGTTCACTTCCAGAGAGTTTCAATCATTACTTAGAAAGAACGCAATAAGACATGAAACCTCTGCACCGTACTCACCCCATCAGAATGGGACGGCCGAGAGAAATTGGAGAACACTATTTGAGATGGCACGTTGTATGTTGCTTGAGAGTAATTTACCTAAAAGACTATGGACTTATGCTGTTATGACTGCTGCAGTGATTCGCAACAGGTGTTACAACAGACGCACAGGACAGACCCCTTACTATTTGTTGACAGGGAGAAAGCCTGACATGTCTAAAATGCACGTTTTCGGATCAGTTTGTTTCGGTTATCGACAAAACAGAAAAAAACTAGACGCAAAATGTGATGAGGGAGTTTTTGTGGGATACGATAAAAACAGTCCGTCATATCTTGTCTATTATCCAGAAACGGGTCGAGTTCTCAAACACAGATTGGTTAAGTTCCTCACTACAAGTGGAGATGAGTGCCAGAACGAAAAGACTCTGGACGAAGATGATTTTCAACCAGTTGGAATATACTGTAAAAGGTTGGACAAGACAATCAATAAAAGTATGGAAGAGACAAAAGAGCCGGACACTGAAACACAGGACAATGTGACAAGTGACAGTGAACAAAGACCGGAGAAACACAGTGAAAACACTGAAGGACGATATCCGAGACGAGATAGAAAGACTCCACAATATTTGAAAGACTATGTTTATGCTGATGATGACCAAACTTTGATGAACATTGACTATTGTTACAGGTTGATGTACGGCGTACCAAAGACATTTGATGAGGCTATGCACTCTCCGGAGTCCGGGTGTTGGTCTAATGCCATGGAGGACGAAATGAGATCGCTAAAAGAAAATGACACTTTTACCCTGACCACATTGCCAGAAGGTAAAAACGCAGTGGGGGGAAGATGGGTGTATACAAAAAAGGAGAGCCCAGGCCAATCTGAGACATTTAAAGCCAGATATGTTGCTAAAGGCTACAGCCAAGTAGCTGGGATTGACTTCAAGGAAACATTTTCGCCGACTGCAGACATGACGTCAGTTCGTTGTTTAATGCAGATGGCAGCACAGTACGACTTAAAACTTCACCAAATGGATGTAAAAACTGCTTACTTGCACGCGCCTATTGATTGTGAGTTGTATATGGAGCAACCAGATGGTTACGAAGTTAAGTCAGAGACTGGTATGAAGCTAGTTTATAAGTTGAATAAATCATTGTATGGTTTGAAACAATCAGGGAGGAACTGGAATAAAATGTTACATGATCATTTATGTGAAAATGGTTTTCATCAAAATCCTGTAGATCATTGTGTCTATAGTAGACAGACTAAGAACGAGACTGTAATTCTTATTATTTGGGTTGATGATGTTATTATTGGTGCAAAGTGTGAGAATTCTCTTAAAAATGTAAAGGAAATGTTGAGTAAGAGATTCAAAATGAAAGACCTTGGTAAGCTACAACATTTTTTGGGGATTGACTGTACACAAGACGAACTAGGAGTAAAGATGAATCAAACCAGGTATATAACAAAAATACTGGAAAGATTTAACATGTCGGACTGTAAGCCACGTTCCACTCCTTGTGAGCTGAAACAAAACTTCGAAGTAGAAGGTGAACTAGTAGATTCTGGTAGATACAGAGAGTGGGCAGCCTGATTTATTTAATGACATCCACAAGACCAGATTTAAGTTGGATAGTGAGTAAACTATCACAATACTTGTCTGCACCAAAAGAACATCACTGGACAGCAGCAAAACATGTGCTACGCTACTTAAAATGGACACTAAACAAAGAGCTATGTTATAGAAAGGCAGACGGTAACCTTAGCCTTATAGCATACAGTGATGCAGATTGGGCCACAGATTTGTGTGACAGGAGAAGTACAACAGGCTACTGTTTTGCACTATCTGAGAGTGGGCCTATCATATGTTGGAAAACCAGAAAGCAGGCTACGGTAGCTTTGTCAACGTGTGAGGCGGAGTACATGGCGATGGCCGCCACAGTACAAGAGAGTTTATACCTTGCACAACTACTTAAAGGATTGGACTCAGAAAAGCAATATTTACCTGTTACCATGTATGCAGATAACCAGGGTGCAATTGCATTGTCCAAAAACCCTATTAACCGACAAAGATGTAAACATATTGACATTCGATTCCATTTCATTCGTTCTGCACTAAATGAGAACAAAATAAATGTTGTATTTTGTGCAACAGCAGACATGGTAGCTGATGTAATGACTAAATCAGTGAGCAAAGTTAGAATGGAAAAGTTCGCAAATTTTCTGTTTGGAGTGTAAATGTGTAAATGTAATGTAAATATGCCTGTGTATTTTTCTTGCCGTGTTAAGAGCAAGTGGGGGTGTTGCCTTGTAGGTATCTGTGTATATATATATATGTGTGTGTGTATGCTCTTACACTGAAGGGTCAAACCGGAAGTGTATGTCTGTACCCAATAAATGACGCGGTGCGCTCCATGCGGGAGATTGAGCCGGTCAAAGAGACTGATGAGTTGTGTGTTTTCCTCCGTCAGTAGATTCTTGTTACCACGGTTATCCCGCCCTCATAATGCTGCGATCAACAGTTATAAACGTTTTAAGTTCCGCATTGAAATGAATGGGACAGCGAGAAAGGCGAAAGATGATAATATTTATAAATATAAGAAACTAAAACAATAACAGAAAGTGAGTTTAGAATTATACAAATAACTTTTTACAAATATAACAATTGAAAAGAACGAGAAGATAAATCTGGGAATGATTTGCTTGCTTTTGGCTCCCTCTAGTGGCCGCGCCGCGCCAACACACTATTAGTGGCAGCGTGCTCGCACTATAAGAAAAAGTAACTTTATTGAAACTATAGCGATGGAAAACGATGGGAAATACATAACTCAGTGAAACGTGATCAGAAAAAGTAGTAATAGATAGGGCCATATTAGCAGACACTATAAACCAGGGGTCCCCAATTAAATTGGCATGAGGGCCACTTACTTGATGAGTTCAATAGATTAGGGTCCGGACATCATACAAATATTTACTTAATAGAAATCCGTTCAAGCTATTTCTTCCATATTAAATTATTTGAAACCTTAAACAACAACGACTACAGTAGTAAGAACTATTTGTAAACAAAATCTAAAGATAGGTGTGTATATTTCAATTCATTGATAATAATTCAACATTAATCTACTTTGTTTATTTCTACACAACACACCACAAACCTCTCCCAAACTCTCAGAGCAGAGTGTGGAACACATGTTAATTGCGGAGGATAAGGGTATCGTTTTTGAACTGCTTCTTTCTATCAAATAAAGTTTTTGCCATCGCCTCCACTCACTCTGACCATAACAAAGCTCTTTATGCCCGAAATCCACTGCACTTGCATTAACACTGTCTACTGTGAGCACTTAAGTAGGGCATGCGCTGTTTGTTAATGCTTTAATATGTTTCTGATGTGTACCTCTGTCTCGCTCCTCCTCACACACGTCTGTCTCGCTCCTCCTCGCGCTCCTCCTCACACACGTCTGTCTCGCTCCTCCTCCTCACACACCTCTGTCTCGCTCCTTCTTCTCCTCCTCCGCTCATAAACAGGCAGTGTGAGCAGCTGAATGCGAGCGTCAATCGCTCCGTACACAGCGCTCATTCCCGTTGCTTTCACTAAAGTTATTTTGATTGCTCCGTGGAAAGACCCGCTCCCCACATAGCCGCCCTCGCGCCTACCTGTTTATAAATCGCTTTTGGTAATAATTTGACACGTAATTGCAATAATGTTATAATATTTACATGGTGGTGGAAAAAAACAATAGCAAAAAGCGAGCTTAAAATTATACAAATAACTATTTACAAATATTTAAGGCAATAACAGGTGAAAAGAACGAGGTGAGAGATCTGGGAGTTATTTGCTTTCTTGTGGCTCCCTCTAGTGGCCGCACCACGCCAACACACTAAGAGCGGCCGCATGCTCGCACTATAAGAAAAATTAACTTTACTGAAACTATAGCGATGGAAAACGAGAGGAAAAACCTAACTCAGTGAAAAAAATGATCAGAAAAAGTATGAATAGTTAAAACATATTAGCAGACACTATAAACTATTGACAGACAAATTAGATACATCTAATAATAAACTACTAAACACACTCAAACAAGTTACAAAGCAAGTTACACAAATACACTTTTAATGATAATACTAGCTATTCATGCAAACTCTCACACTTACATTGGGTCATGCGCACACACACTGGGAAGCGACGGACTAAACAAGGAGCGGAGATGCAGGGGAGAGAACAGCAGGTAATGATGTCACAAGTTAACAAATTAAAACAACTAAAAAGTAAAACAATCAAATATCTGACCATTTTATTTGACCATACACCAATAACAGGCCCCTGCGACCCATACCTGTCCTTTTATTAAGTGCCAAAGTCTGTTAAATGGTTGGCTTGTTTTGTTAGGATTTGGACTCTTTGGTTTTGCCTCATTGATCCATTGAATTGTGGGGATTGGCCCAACCCAGCTGGTCAATAGCCCTGCTAGGTAGACCCATTCTCCACATTTCACAGGACCACAGAGGCAGTTAAGCCCCCACGCCACGACAAGGCAGAGTCCATGTGGGGGATGTATTTTTTTGTGTTTTTTTATTTATTTATTTATTTTTTCTGCTACCTACGAAAGATATCAACTGCTTAACTATAAAACTAACTTATCCAACAACTAAGAACACACGAAACACACACAATATTTACAAAGCCTCAGTCATTAATTGCCTTCTCTTTGTTTTGAAGGCTTGAAATGTTCTGATTTGGAGGTTAGTATCCTGACAGACCTTTAGATATCTGCTGTAGGCCTGTCTGTACACATATATACACATACACACATATATACACATATATACACATACACACATATACACAGACACACCTACACACACACACACACATACACACATATACACAGACACACCTACACACACACACACACATACACACCTACACACACATACACACCTACACACACATACACACCTACACACACATATACACATACACACATATATACACATACACACATATATACACATATATACACATACACACATATACACAGACACACCTACACACACACACACACATACACACATATACACAGACACACCTACACACACACACACACATACACACCTACACACACATACACACATACACACCTACACACACATATACACATACACACATACACACATATATACACATACACACATATATACACATATATACACATACACACATATACACAGACACACCTACACACACATATACACCTACACACACATATACACATACACACATACACACATACACACCTACACACACATACACACATACACACATACACACACATATACACATACACACATACACACACATATACACATACACACATATACACATACACACATACACACACATATACACATACACACATACACACACATATACATACACACATACACACATATACACAGACACACCTACACACACACACACACATACACACATATACACAGACACACCTACACACATACACACCTACACACACATACACACATACACACCTACACACACATACACACCTACACACACATATACACCTACACACACATATACACATACACACATATATACACATACACACATATATACACATATATACACATACACACATATACACAGACACACCTACACACACACACACACATACACACATATACACAGACACACCTACACACACACACACACATACACACCTACACACACATACACACATACACACCTACACACACATACACACCTACACACACATATACACATACACACATACACACATATATACACATACACACATATATACACATATATACACATACACACATATACACAGACACACCTACACACACACACACACATACACACATATACACAGACACACCTACACACACACACACACATACACACCTACACACACATACACACATACACACCTACACACACATACACACCTACACACACATATACACATACACACATACACACATATATACACATACACACATATATACACATATATACACATACACACATATACACAGACACACCTACACACACATATACACATACACACATACACACCTACACACACATATACACATACACACATATACACATACACACATACTGTATACGCACATATACACATACTGTATACACACATACACACATACTGTATACACACATACACACATACTGTATACACACATATACACATACTGTATGCACACATACACACATACTGTATACACACATATACACATACTGTATGCACACATACACACATACTGTATACACATATATATCACAGCATGACGTAAACAGTTCATAATGAAAACCCCACTCTCTCTGTTCTTGTTCCCAGTGCTCCAGCTCGTGTGGGTCTGGCGTGCAGAAGAGAGAGCTGCGCTGTAGCGAGAGAGACACACGCGGAGGGTACGCAACTTTTTCATCATCTTTTACTACACTTTTGCTTCCAAGATTTTCAGAGTGGGAGTGGGAAGATGAGAGTGTGTTTAGTTAATGAACTCATCCGTCTCGTCAGGTTCACAGAGCTGCCTTCTCGACGATGCAGACACACGGCCAAACCTCTGAACCTGGACCTGCAGCAGCTCTGTAACCCTGGAGCCTGCCCCGAGCCAGCCCACATCAGTCCAGGCAGGGGCCCCTCCACCATGGTCTCTGGGTGGTTCTCGTCTCCATGGCAACAGGTACCTTTTGGCGTTTTATACAACTTTTGTGTCTCGTATTCATTTTCAACCTGCACAATACATATTTTTACACACAGGAAGAAATCCAGTGTAAATGAAAATAAGTAAAATACTGATTAAAATCAGACAAATGATCTGTCAATAGAACGAGAAAATATGACTTAGATTTCTGAAAATAAGAAATGAGTTGTGAAATGTTTTCTTAAAATACAGCATAAGAAACTCATTTTATCTAAAAAACAAGAAAATGTGTCTGGAAAACTTAAACAGGCTTAAAAAGTCACTGCTCGGACTGGTCTCTCGAAGATTATGAAGTATTATCATCTTAAACTAGTATAATAATCGTACATGACAAACTACATTCAAGCAACAAACTTGGAGTAATTGATAGTTTTACTGATTACTAAATGTGTGAGTAACAGTTTCCTTAAATCTTTGTTTTTTTGTATGAAATTGAATTCTTGTGAGTACGGTTAAGGTAAAAGATTTTTCTGTGATTTTTGGCTTGACAAATCGATCATCTGTCATCAACCTATGAATCTCTAACTTCCCCATAATCTGACACTTTATATTTTCTTGTCTAGACATATTTTTCCTTGAACATGTCAAGCACACATTAACACAAACATATCCTCCCCAAAACTATCCTTTTTATTACCTAAACTTTTCCGTCTTCGTCTCCAGACAGTAGCTGTGCTTTATTATAAACTTATGGTGAATTTATGTCCAGAATATCCCTGTGTATTCAGCTGATGTGCTTATTTAGCATCTTTTTTTGACTTTTTCCTCCCGGGGCCTGGAGGAGTGAAAGTTTTATCAGCATAAAACAAATAAACAGAGCTGACTTTAGAGTTCCTTTGTGAGTGTTTGCCCATAAAACCGAGAGGAGCAGAGTATAGTCGGTGCTAACTCAAACACACGACAGGGAGAAGAGAGAGAGATGTCTGCTTCCCTTTTCTCGCTGTCTGCCTTTGAACCCTTTCAATTGCAATCCGAGGCTTCTCTCCGAGCAGCGTTTGGAGAAAGGTGGTGCAGGATATGTCTGATAACATCTTTTATGTAAAGGGCAGGCTCTTACGTCACTCTCTGCTTGATCTTGAGCTTGTGATCCGTCTTCTCGCTCTGCCTTCGATTTCTCTTGACAGTTGCTTTCATGGCTCAAAAATTAATTGTTGTTAAAATGTTTGTTGTCTGCACATTTCTCTCTTGGTGTTGGATCTCTGTGGTGTCTTTGTAGCTGCCCTTCTCACTGGTTGCTCTGTCTCAGTGCTCCGTGTCGTGTGGTGGAGGAGTTCAGACTCGCGGGGTCCAGTGTCTGCGTCAGGGTCGTCCCACGGCCGGCTGCCTGCTCCACCAGAGACCCGTCACCTCCAGAGCCTGCAACACTCACTTCTGTCCCGCTGCCCGCCCTGTCCCGGCTCACAGGCCGCCCTGGGTCACTGCGGCTGCTCCGCCTCGGAAAGGTAACTTTTCAGAATCTATAGGACTCATGCTAAGCTCAACTAGACGGATTCTAGATACTATACAACTAGATATTTAGATATATATAGACATCTATATATAAGGGAGAGAGAGAAATAGAGAGAGAGAGAGAGAGACTGGGGCTGTGTACTGTTTAACAAATACCAGAATGGAATTGGGGACTAAAATAAACTTTATCTTAGCTTTAATTCTATTCAATTGAACATATTTTAGTACAGTCCTATTTCACAACAGCAGTGGACTCTGAGGACAACATTTGCAAAACACAGAAATGCAAATATTAGACGTCCAAAGGGGGAAGTGGTTAAAAGCGTAGCAAGATGACCAATGAATGTCTCTCGGAAACACTGAAGACGCAGGAGAAAAACATTTAAGATGTTCGAAACCTCAGGAAAACCATAGTGAGATAATATCCTCTCCCACAGACAGCTGTAGAGCTACATGTTTTACAGTTTTTCTCTATTGCTTAAACACATTTCACGATACTGCCCTCCCTTTTCTCAAAACTCTAAACACAAACCTCTTTTCTAAAGCTACGTACACACAACAACACAGTCTCTTTTCAAAACCAACCCATCACCAAAACAGTTTCTCATGGTCTGTAAAAATGTGAACACTATGAGCATCATTAACCACTTCACCAAAACAATTGAAAACACAATTTTCAGAATGTGAGACTTTTTTACAGTATCACACCTGCCAGGATGCATTTGAGCAACACTTTTTTATTCTCAAATATATTTTGGCCATTTACTATAGATTTGATTTGATATTATGAGAATAGTTACATAAAGTAGAAAATGCAGTTATATCACAACTCAATGCAAACATGAGTAACTCCATGGATCCATTACACACAAAAGATACTACAGTACAGTAACAATTGAAAACACAATGTTTAGGGCAGTGCTTCTCAAATAGTGGGGGGGCGTGGTGCGATGACAGGGGGGGCTCACGGGAGCGCGCGTGACCGTGGGACACTTATTATTTTTGTATGTACGTGGAACTGGATTCCACATGCTCTGGTGCTGCAAGGGACTGACTCCCATGTGACCGGCGCTGACAGGACACGTGCGGATCTTTGCGCAACCTGTGGACGCGATAAATCCACCGCTGTGAGAGAAGCACTGCTGAATTATGTGAGCCTCTGGAAGTGTCCCCCATGTCTCCACCTGTTGCCCTGAAACTACAACTCACTAAATTAAAGCTGGGGTACCTACATTTCCCGTGCATTCATAATACCTTGATCTGCTCCTCTCCCTCCTTGACCTGCTCCTCTCCCTTCTTGACCTGCTCCTCTCCCTCCTTGGCCTGCTCCTCTCCCTCCTTGACCTGCTCCTCTCCCTCCTTGACCTGCTCCTCTCCCTTCTTGATCTGATCCTCTCCCTTCTTGACCTGCTCCTCTCCCTCCTTGGCCTGCTCCTCTCCCTCCTTGACCTGCTCCTCTCCCTCCTTGAACTGCTCCTCTCCCTCCTTGACCTGCTCCTCTCCCTCCTTGACCTGCTCCTCTCCCTTCTTGACCTGCCCCTCTCCCTTCTTGACCTGCTCCTCTCCCTCCTTGACCTGCTCCTCTCCATTCTTGACCTGCTCCTCTCCCTCCTTGACCTGCTCCTCTCCCTCCTTGACCTGCTCCTCTCCCTCCTTGACCTGCTCCTCTCCCTTCTTGATCTGATCCTCTCCCTTCTTGATCTGCTCCTCTCCCTCCTTGGCCTGCTCCTCTCCCTCCTTGACCTGCTCCTCTCCCTCCTTGACCTGCTCCTCTCCCTCCTTGACCTGCTCCTCTCCCTCCTTGACCTGCTCCTCTCCCTTCTTGACCTGCCCCTCTCCCTTCTTGACCTGCTCCTCTCCCTCCTTGACCTGCTCCTCTCCATTCTTGACCTGCTCCTCTCCCTCCTTGACCTGCTCCTCTCCCTTCTTGACCTGCTCCTCTCCCTCCTTGGCCTGCTCCTCTCCCTCCTTGACCTGCTCCTCTCCCTTCTTGATCTGATCCTCTCCCTTCTTGACCTGCTCCTCTCCCTCCTTGACCTGCTCCTCTCCCTTCTTGATCTGATCCTCTCCCTTCTTGACCTGCTCCTCTCCCTCCTTGGCCTGCTCCTCTCCCTCCTTGACCTGCTCCTCTCCCTCCTTGACCTGCTCCTCTCCCTCCTTGACCTGCTCCTCTCCCTCCTTGACCTGCTCCTCTCCCTTCTTGACCTGCCCCTCTCCCTTCTTGACCTGCTCCTCCCCTCCTTGACCTGCTCCTCTCCCTCCTTGACCTGCTCCTCTCCCTTCTTGATCTGATCCTCTCCCTTCTTGGCCTGCTCCTCTCCCTCCTTGACCTGCTCCTCTCCCTCCTTGATCTGATCCTCTCCCTTCTTGACCTGCTCCTCTCCCTCCTTGACCTGCTCCTCTCCCTCCTTGACCTGCTCCTCTCCCTTCTTGACCTGCCCCTCTCCCTTCTTGACCTGCTCCTCTCCCTCCTTGACCTGCTCCTCTCCATTCTTGACCTGCTCCTCTCCCTCCTTGACCTGCTCCTCTCCCTTCTTGACCTGCCCCTCTCCCTTCTTGACCTGCTCCTCTCCCTCCTTGACCTGCTCCTCTCCCTTCTTGACCTGCCCCTCTCCCTTCTTGACCTGCTCCTCTCCCTCCTTGACCTGCTCCTCTCCCTTCTTGACCTGCTCCTCTCCCTCCTTGGCCTGCTCCTCTCCCTCCTTGACCTGCTCCTCTCCCTTCTTGACCTGCTCCTCTCCCTCCTTGACCTGCTCCTCTCCCTCCTTGACCTGCTCCTCTCCCTCCTTGACCTGCTCCTCTCCCTCCTTGACCTGCTCCTCTCCCTTCTTGACCTGCTCCTCTCCCTCCTTGACCTGCTCCTCTCCCTCCTTGACCTGCTCCTCTCCCTCCTTGGCCTGCTCCTCTCCCTCCTTGACCTGCTCCTCTCCCTCCTTGACCTGCTCCTCTCCCTCCTTGACCTGCTCCTCTCCCTCCTTGACCTGCTCCTCTCCCTCCTTGACCTGCTCCTCTCCCTTCTTGACCTGCCCCTCTCCCTTCTTGACCTGCTCCTCTCCCTCCTTGACCTGCTCCTCTCCATTCTTGACCTGCTCCTCTCCCTCCTTGACCTGCTCCTCTCCCTCCTTGACCTGCTCCTCTCCCTTCTTGATCTGATCCTCTCCCTTCTTGGCCTGCTCCTCTCCCTCCTTGATCTGATCCTCTCCCTTCTTGACCTGCTCCTCTCCCTCCTTGACCTGCTCCTCTCCCTCCTTGACCTGCTCCTCTCCCTTCTTGATCTGATCCTCTCCCTTCTTGGCCTGCTCCTCTCCCTCCTTGACCTGCTCCTCTCCCTCCTTGATCTGATCCTCTCCCTTCTTGACCTGCTCCTCTCCCTCCTTGACCTGCTCCTCTCCCTTCCTGATCTGATCCTCTCCCTTCTTGGCCTGCTCCTCTCCCTCCTTGACCTGCTCCTCTCCCTCCTTGACCTGCTCCTCTCCCTTCTTGACCTGCCCCTCTCCCTTCTTGACCTGCTCCTCTCCCTCCTTGACCTGCTCCTCTCCATTCTTGACCTGCTCCTCTCCCTCCTTGACCTGCTCCTCTCCCTTCTTGACCTGCCCCTCTCCCTTCTTGACCTGCTCCTCTCCCTCCTTGACCTGCTCCTCTCCCTTCTTGACCTGCCCCTCTCCCTTCTTGACCTGCTCCTCTCCCTCCTTGACCTGCTCCTCTCCCTTCTTGACCTGCTCCTCTCCCTCCTTGGCCTGCTCCTCTCCCTCCTTGACCTGCTCCTCTCCCTTCTTGACCTGCTCCTCTCCCTCCTTGACCTGCTCCTCTCCCTCCTTGACCTGCTCCTCTCCCTCCTTGACCTGCTCCTCTCCCTCCTTGACCTGCTCCTCTCCCTTCTTGACCTGCTCCTCTCCCTCCTTGACCTGCTCCTCTCCCTCCTTGACCTGCTCCTCTCCCTCCTTGGCCTGCTCCTCTCCCTCCTTGACCTGCTCCTCTCCCTCCTTGACCTGCTCCTCTCCCTCCTTGACCTGCTCCTCTCCCTCCTTGACCTGCTCCTCTCCCTCCTTGACCTGCTCCTCTCCCTTCTTGACCTGCCCCTCTCCCTTCTTGACCTGCTCCTCTCCCTCCTTGACCTGCTCCTCTCCATTCTTGACCTGCTCCTCTCCCTCCTTGACCTGCTCCTCTCCCTCCTTGACCTGCTCCTCTCCCTTCTTGATCTGATCCTCTCCCTTCTTGGCCTGCTCCTCTCCCTCCTTGATCTGATCCTCTCCCTTCTTGACCTGCTCCTCTCCCTCCTTGACCTGCTCCTCTCCCTCCTTGACCTGCTCCTCTCCCTTCTTGATCTGATCCTCTCCCTTCTTGGCCTGCTCCTCTCCCTCCTTGACCTGCTCCTCTCCCTCCTTGATCTGATCCTCTCCCTTCTTGACCTGCTCCTCTCCCTCCTTGACCTGCTCCTCTCCCTTCCTGATCTGATCCTCTCCCTTCTTGGCCTGCTCCTCTCCCTCCTTGACCTGCTCCTCTCCCTCCTTGACCTGCTCCTCTCCCTTCTTGACCTGCCCCTCTCCCTTCTTGACCTGCTCCTCTCCCTCCTTGACCTGCTCCTCTCCATTCTTGACCTGCTCCTCTCCCTCCTTGACCTGCTCCTCTCCCTTCTTGACCTGCCCCTCTCCCTTCTTGACCTGCTCCTCTCCCTCCTTGACCTGCTCCTCTCCCTTCTTGACCTGCCCCTCTCCCTTCTTGACCTGCTCCTCTCCCTCCTTGACCTGCTCCTCTCCCTTCTTGACCTGCTCCTCTCCCTCCTTGGCCTGCTCCTCTCCCTCCTTGACCTGCTCCTCTCCCTTCTTGACCTGCTCCTCTCCCTCCTTGACCTGCTCCTCTCCCTCCTTGACCTGCTCCTCTCCCTCCTTGACCTGCTCCTCTCCCTCCTTGACCTGCTCCTCTCCCTTCTTGACCTGCTCCTCTCCCTCCTTGACCTGCTCCTCTCCCTCCTTGACCTGCTCCTCTCCCTCCTTGGCCTGCTCCTCTCCCTCCTTGACCTGCTCCTCTCCCTCCTTGACCTGCTCCTCTCCCTCCTTGACCTGCTCCTCTCCCTCCTTGACCTGCTCCTCTCCCTCCTTGACCTGCTCCTCTCCCTTCTTGACCTGCCCCTCTCCCTTCTTGACCTGCTCCTCTCCCTCCTTGACCTGCTCCTCTCCATTCTTGACCTGCTCCTCTCCCTCCTTGACCTGCTCCTCTCCCTCCTTGACCTGCTCCTCTCCCTTCTTGATCTGATCCTCTCCCTTCTTGGCCTGCTCCTCTCCCTCCTTGATCTGATCCTCTCCCTTCTTGACCTGCTCCTCTCCCTCCTTGACCTGCTCCTCTCCCTCCTTGACCTGCTCCTCTCCCTTCTTGATCTGATCCTCTCCCTTCTTGGCCTGCTCCTCTCCCTCCTTGACCTGCTCCTCTCCCTCCTTGATCTGATCCTCTCCCTTCTTGACCTGCTCCTCTCCCTCCTTGACCTGCTCCTCTCCATTCTTGACCTGCTCCTCTCCCTCCTTGACCTGCTCCTCTCCCTCCTTGACCTGCTCCTCTCCCTTCTTGATCTGATCCTCTCCCTTCTTGGCCTGCTCCTCTCCCTCCTTGACCTGCTCCTCTCCCTTCTTGACCTGCTCCTCTCCCTCCTTGACCTGCTCCTCTCCCTCCTTGACCTGCTCCTCTCCATTCTTGACCTGCTCCTCTCCCTCCTTGACCTGCTCCTCTCCCTCCTTGACCTGCTCCTCTCCCTTCTTGATCTGATCCTCTCCCTTCTTGGCCTGCTCCTCTCCCTCCTTGACCTGCTCCTCTCCCTCCTTGACCTGCTCCTCTCCCTTCTTGATCTGATCCTCTCCCTTCTTGGCCTGCTCCTCCTCCTTGGCCTGTCCTCTCCCTTCTGACCTGCTCCTCTCCCTCCTTGACCTGCTCCTCTCCCTTCTTGACCTGCTCCTCTCCCTCCTTGACCTGCTCCTCTCCCTGCTCCTTCCCTCCTTGACCTGCTCCTCTCCCTCCTTGACCTGCTCCTCTCCTCCTTGTCCTCTCCCTTCTTGACCTGCTCCTCTCCCTCCTTGACCTGCTCCTCTCCCTTCCTTGACCTGCTCCTCTCTTCCCTCCTTGACCTGCTCCTCTCTCCCTCCTTGACCTGCTCCTCTCCCTCCTTGACCTGCTCTTCCCCTTGACCTGCTCCTCTCCCTCCTTGACCTGCTCCTCCCTCCTTGACCTGCTCCTCTCCTCCTTGACCTGCTCCTCTCCCTCCTGACTGCCTCTCCCTCTTGACCTCTCCTCTCCTGACCTGCTCCTCTCCCTCCTTGGCCTGCTCCTCTCCCTCCTTGACCTGCTCCTCTCCCTCCTTGACCTGCTCCTCTCCCTCCTTGACCTGCTCCTCTCCCTCCTTGACCTGCTCCTCTCCCTCCTTGACCTGCTCCTCTCCCTCTTGACCTGCCCCTCTCCCTTCTTGACCTGCTCCTCTCCCTCCTTGACCTGCTCCTCTCCCTTCTTGACCTGCTCCTCTCCCTCCTTGACCTGCTCCTCTCCCTCCTTGACCTGCTCCTCTCCCTTCTTGATCTGATCCTCTCCCTTCTTGGCCTGCTCCTCTCCCTCCTTGATCTGATCCTCCTCCCTTCTTGACCTGCTCCTCTCCCTCCTTGACCTGCTCCTCTCCCCTCCTTGACCTGCTCCTCTCCCTTCTTGATCTGATCCTCTCCCTTCTTGGCCTGCTCCTCTCCCTCCTTGACCTGCTCCTCTCCCTCCTTGATCTGATCCTCTCCCTTCTTGACCTGCTCCTCTCCCTCCTTGACCTGCTCCTCTCCCTTCCTGATCTGATCCTCTCCCTTCTTGGCCTGCTCCTCTCCCTCCTTGACCTGCTCCTCTCCCTCCTTGACCTGCTCCTCTCCCTCCACTGACACAAACTCCTCTTCTTCTGCCTTGATCATTGTCGTTCGGAACCTGCACTGACTTATAAAGGTGTGGTCACATCATTTGCAACAGGAGTGTTCAGTTCTGATGGTTGTGTTTTCTGAATGACACCAGGTCTGTTCATTGTGTTCAGGTTTTGCTGACTGTGGGAGACATTTTTCATCACATGAGCCTCACAATGATTACAGGAGCAGAGATACATGCAAAGGAAAAATGTGTTTTAGCAAAAGAAAAATGTGTTTAGAGTTTTGAGAAAAAGGGCATGTGTTTTGTGAACAGTGTCTACAGGAGAATTGTGTTTATGGTTGTGAGAAGTGGGGGGAAGTTTTAATAAATGTGTTTAGGCAATTGGTCATTTGGTTTAGAGTACTGGGTTTCGTGTTGTAGCAATAGAGAAAAACTGTAAAGAAGCAGTGTGTAAACATGTGGCCAAAAGTGGTACTGCAGCCTCTCCCACTCTCCCTGACTCAGGTTGCCAGATATGCAGACGAATCCAGCTGGGACCATAACAGCTGAATAGACAAGAGTTTTGTCAACAACAAATCTATAACCAACACCTTTTTCACAAAGATAGAAATCCTGGTTTTATTCCTTGTTTTGTCGTTAATGATTTGAGAATCATAACGAGACCTTTTTTAGTTCTGCGCCACATGGTACTTTACCAGTGAGATTAGCTCCATGCGGTGAGTTCTGGCGCCCGGATCACAGACTTTCTGATTGGTGAAATGGTGGAGGGCGGGACATCGAAATGAAAACAATAACAGATTTAGGGGCTGGAAAAGTAATTTAGAAATTCAATTATCTCTGAACTACTGTTATCAGTTAAAGAAGTATTGGAAAAGACCATGTTTTAGAATCAGAATCAGAATAATTTTTATTGCCACGTAAGTAACAGGAAGTCACACACTTGGAAATTGCTTTGGCTCAGTGCAACAGTCAGAAAGAGATAATAAAAATAAAGAATAAAAAACACTTCTAAGGAATACATTTTCATTTGAAATAGAGTTAAATTACTATATACAATATACAAGTGCACATGGTGCACACAATGTAAGGTGACAGCAGTACAGTGAAGTAAAGTGACGTATGATGGGCAGTAAAGTGACTTTATAAAGGGCGGGGGGACAGGTTACGAAGTGTTCAAGAGTCCAACAGCAGAGGGGAAGAAACTGTTCTTGTGGCGGGAGGTTCTAGTCCTGATGGACCGCAGCCTCCTGCCTGAGGGGAGTGGTTGGAATAGTCCATGTGCAGGTGAGAGGGGAGTGGTTGGAATAGTCCATGTGCAGGTGAGAGGGGAGTGGTTGGAATAGTCCATGTGCAGGTGAGAGGGGAGTGGTTGGAATAGTCCATGTGCAGGTGAGAGGGGAGTGGTTGGAATAGTCCATGTGCAGGTGAGAGGGGAGTGGTTGGAATAGTCCATGTGCAGGTGAGAGGGGAGTGGTTGGAATAGTCCATGTGCAGGTGAGAGGGGAGTGGTTGGAATAGTCCATGTGCAGGTGAGAGGGGAGTGGTTGGAATAGTCCATGTGCAGGTGAGAGGGGTCGGCTGTGATACGACCAGCCCGGCCTCGAGCTCGGGCGACGTACAGGTCCTGCAGCGATGGAAGGCTGCGGCCGATCACTTCCTCTGCAGAGCGCACAATGCACTGTAGTCTCTGTTTGTCCCTGACTGTGGCTCCAGCGAACCACACGGTGATGGAGGAGGTGATGGAGGAGGTGACGGAGGAGGTGATGGAGGAGGTGAGGATGGACTCGATGATGGCCGTGTAGAACTGCAGCTTGGCTTTCCTGAGCTGCCGCAGGAAGTACATCCTCTGCTGGGCCTTCTTGATGAGGAGCTGATGGTCGGCTCCCACTTGAGGTCCTGGGTGATGGTGGTGCCCAGGAAACAGAAGGACTTCACAGAGGTGATGGGGGAGTCCATCACGGAGGGTGGGGGCGGGGGGACAGTGCTCTTCCTGAAGTCCACAATCATCTCCACTGTCTTCTGGGCGTTCAGCTCCAGGTTGTTACCACTGCACCAGGACACCAGCCGGTCCACCTCCCTCCTGTAGGAGACACCAGGACACCAGCCGGTCCACCTCCCTCCTGTAGGAGACACCAGGACACCAGCCGGTCCACCTCCCTCCTGTAGGAGACACCAGGACACCAGCCGGTCCACCTCCCTCCTGTAGGAGACACCAGGACACCAGCCGGTCCACCTCCCTCCTGTAGGAGACACCAGGACACCAGCCGGTCCACCTCCCTCCTGTAGGAGACACCAGGACACCAGCCGGTCCACCTCCCTCCTGTAGGAGACACCAGGACACCAGCCGGTCCACCTCCTCCTGTAGGAGACACCAGGACACCAGCCGGTCCACCTCCCTCCTGTAGGAGACACCAGGACACCAGCCGGTCCACCTCCTCCTGTAGGAGACACCAGGACACCAGCCGGTCCACCTCCCTCCTGTAGGAGGCACCAGGACACCAGCCGGTCCACCTCCCTCCTGTAGGAGACACCAGGACACCAGCCGGTCCACCTCCTCCTGTAGGAGACACCAGGACACCAGCCGGTCCACCTCCCTCCTGTAGGAGACACCAGGACACCAGCCGGTCCACCTCCCTCCTGTAGGAGACACCAGGACACCAGCCGGTCCACCTCCCTCCTGTAGGAGACACCAGGACACCAGCCGGTCCACCTCCCTCCTGTAGGAGACACCAGGACACTAGCCGGTCCACCTCCCTCCTGTAGGAGATACCAGGACACCAGCCGGTCCACCTCCCTCCTGTAGGAGACACCAGGACACCAGCCGGTCCACCTCCCTCCTGTAGGAGACACCAGGACACTAGCCGGTCCACCTCCCTCCTGTAGGAGATACCAGGACACCAGCCGGTCCACCTCCCTCCTGTAGGAGACACCAGGACACCAGCCGGTCCACCTCCCTCCTGTAGGCGGACTCATCGTTGTTGGAGATGAGTCCAATGAGGGTGGTGTCGTCCGCGAACTTGATCAGCTTCACGGAGTCGTGGCTGGAGGTGCAGTGGTTGGAGGTGCAGTGGTTGGAGGTGCAGTGGTTGGAGGTGCAGTGGTTGGAGGTGCAGTGGTTGGAGGTGCAGTGGTTGGAGGTGCAGTGGTTGGAGGTGCAGTGGTTGGAGGTGCAGTGGTTGGAGGTGCAGTGGGAGGAGGTGCAGTGGGAGGAGGTGCAGAGGAGGTGCAGTGGTTGGTGTACAGGGAGAAGAGCAGGGGAGAAAGAACACAGCCCTGTGGGGCTCCTGTATTTATAATCCGAGAGTCCGAGACATTCTTCCCCAGACGCACTCGCTGCTTCCTGTCCGTCAGGAAGTCAGTGATCCACCTGCAGGTGGAATCGGGCACGTTGAGCTGGGAGAGCTTGTCCTGGAGCAGGGATGGCAGGATGGTGAAGTCCACGAACAGGACCCTGGCGTAGGTCCCCGGCGAACTGCAGGGGGTCCAGGGGGTCTAGGGGTCTAGGCGAACTGCAGGGGGTCCAGGAGGGGGGAGGTGAGGGACTTGAGATGGGAGAGAACGTTCAAATGACTTGAGATGGGAGAGAACCAGGCGTTCAAATGACTTCATGACGACAGACGTAAGTGCTACAGGTCTGTAGTCATTGAGTCCTGTGATCCTGGGCTTCTTCGGGACGGGGACAATTATGGAGGATTTGAAGCATATTGCTCCTTTATCATTCATAATAATATGAAAGAGATTATACACAATTACACTCAGGGCACATAAGATTGATTGATTATCTCCTTGTGAGATACATCAAGCACATCTTATAATTAGATTCGCATTCACCAATTTGCCTTCACCATTTACTGCAGAATCATTCACTAAACCAGTCCTGGTTCTCTCTGCAGAGGACCGCTGCCTGGACCTGTTCAGCTGGTGCCACCTGGTTCCTCAACACGGCGTCTGTAACCACAAGTTCTACGGACACCAGTGTTGTAAGTCATGCTCCGGCAAAAGGCACTAGCCCACCCACCCACGGACTCAGCCTTCCGACCCACCCACGGACTCAGCCCCCCGACCCACCCACGGACTCAGCCTTCCGACCCACCCACGGACTCAGCCCCCGCACTGGACTGTCGCACAGCCGTGTTCTTCCTGGAATACTTGACTAATTTGTTTTATATAGAAGAAGGAGAGAGACCACACAGACTTTCCGACAAGGGAAGCACAATGGCCTCTGGTGCTCACCGTATCAAAGACTCGTGAGACTGCACTGGAAGGGAACAAGTCAAGAAGTCAAAAGTCGGACATGTTTTTACGTACGGCCCAGTTCAATGTTTTCCTTTCCAATCCTCTGGCAGCCATTCGTGAGGATGAGTTTTCCTGATATGTTGTTATAAGGGCTTTGATTCCCGACACTCTTATTTAAGTTATTACGGTCTGTATTGTAAATGACAAAAAAATACATGTATGTCGTATGTTATTGTGCTTTTGCCCCAAGATTTGTATCATGAGATTTGTTTAGAGGTGACCTTCTCCGCATGTAATGTTGCTGATGATTCTTAGTGGAGTATTTTATCCATGTGCATTCCATAAAGCTTTCTGTCCGGGTCATTTTGTAAGTTATTTGTTGTAAATGAATACATATGCATCGTGTCTGACTCTTTTCTTCTTGTTTGAGAGTGTTTTCAGGATCATTTGTTCAAAGGAGTTTATAGTTATGGGATTGGACTAGAGCAGGCCTCATACTTGCTGTCACCTCTCCACAGGGCTGTCTTGGGTGAAGCAGGTCATGAGGAACTGGAAGACCGTTGGGGCGCATGCATGTTTGACCCAATGCATCACATTTTCATACAAATAATCATTTTTAAAAGTTGACTGTTTTTTCAATACAAACAGATAAAATCCCCCTCATTGTATGTGCATCAGGTAAAACAGGCCTAATGTCAAACTCAGGCCCGTGGGTCAAATCCGGCCCGCAAGAGTATTTTTAGTGGCCTTGGAGGTAGAGGCTGGGTCCAGAGGTTCAGGTAAGTATCGGGGCCTCGTCCAGAGGTTCAGGTAAGTATCGGGGCCACGTCCAGAGGTTCAGGTAAGTATTGGGGCCAGGTCCAGAGGTTCAGGTAAGTATCGGGGCCGGGTCCAGAGGTTCAGGTAAGTATTGGGGCCAGGTCCAGAGGTGCAGGTAAGTATCGGGGCCGGGTCCAGAGGTGCAGGTAAGTATCGGGGCCAGGTCCAGAGGTTCAGGTAAGTATCGAGGCCAGGTCCAGAGGTGCAGGTAAGTATCGGGGCCAGGTCCAGAGGTGCAGGTAAGTATCGGGGCCGGGTCCAGAGGTGCAGGTAAGTATCGGGGCCGGGTCCGGAGGTGCAGGTAAGTATCGGGGCCGGGTCCAGAGGTTCAGGTAAGTATCGGGGCCAGGTCCAGAGGTGCAGGTAAGTATCGGGGCCAGGTCCAGAGGTTCAGGTAAGTATTGGGGCCAGGTCCAGAGGTGCAGGTAAGTATCGGGGCCGGGTCCAGAGGTGCAGGTAAGTATCGGGGCCGGGTCCAGAGGTTCAGGTAAGTATCGGGGCCAGGTCCAGAGGTGCAGGTAAGTATCGGGGCCAGGTCCAGAGGTGCAGGTAAGTATCGGGGCCAGGTCCAGAGGTTCAGGTAAGTATCGGGGCCAGGTCCAGAGGTGCAGGTAAGTATCGGGGCCAGGTCCAGAGGTTCAGGTAAGTATTGGGGCCGGGTCCAGAGGTTCAGGTAAGTATCGGGGCCAGGTCCAGAGGTGCAGGTAAGTATCGGGGCCAGGTCCAGAGGTGCAGGTAAGTATCGGGGCCAGGTCCAGAGGTGCAGGTAAGTATCGGGGCCAGGTCCAGAGGTGCAGGTAAGTATCGGAGCCAGGTCCAGAGGTGCAGGTAAGTATCGGGGCCAGGTCCAGAGGTGCAGGTAAGTAAGTTAGGGAAATATCCAGAGAAGGCACAGTCGGCTGGCAGGGAGTGGTGGAAGAGCCGGGTTTACATACAGAGAGGTGATTGTGGATGGACGGCAGCTGAGGCGGTGAGTGAGTGCAAAGGTAAAGGTGCCCTTTAATGAGCCCCGTAGGGCATTTGACCCATCCTGATGCCACTAAGGCTTACGTCAGGAGCAGTGGTCGCCGTAGTAACAGCGCCCGGGAACCCATCTCCAGATGTTGATTCTCGGCTTGGTCAGGACTACGGGAGCTGGAGGATTTTACCTAGTGTGCATGTTTTTAGTGGTACGGGGAGAACATGCAAACTCCACTCAGCTGGTACTGATCAATATAACTGTGCAGCGTTGATGGTAATGAACTACCATGGCATGTTATATACATCACCTATTTTCTCATATAAATAACAAGATTTTATTTACTCTAAAATGTGAATGTATATGTGCACTTAATTGCCCCCATAGGGAAATTTGTCTTCTGCATTTAACCCACATCCAGTAACACTAAGGCTCACGTCAGGAGCAGTGGTCGCCGTAGTAACAGCGCCCAGGGACCCATCTCCAGATGTTGATGCTCCGTGTGCTCCGGTTTCCTGCCTTCAGGGAGGAGGCAGCTCGGCGGGATGTAGGACGCAGAGGAGGAAATCCACTTTAGTTCCAACAGTGACTCAGCCGCTGACCTCGGGCTCGTCTTTACCCAGCGCAGGGTTAAAACGCTCCTAACATTAACTTAAACAGGATGTGTGTGTATTTATGTGATATTTATTGAGCTTTTTAGCATATAACTTGCAACTCTACGTGCTTTTTAATTTCCCCTCGGGGATAAATAAAGTGATTGATTGATTGATTAAAAATATGTTTCTTTAGATCTTCGGCACCTCAACTACAGTATGTACTAAGCTTTATTGGTCTAAACACAAACTCATGGCCTTTCTTCATTGTGGTACCTTCCTATTGTAAATACAGTGTAAATATGTGATATTGCGAATATTCACAATTATTTGTAATTTTTTGCAAAAATTTGTAAATTTATCAATATGTGTATATATGCTGTGGTGTCTCGACATCACATTTCAGGGGCTACACCTCATTTTTATTTTATTTTTTGTTTACCGAGTGAGTCATGTGACCTGTCATTACTATGTGTATATATACAGGTGTGTAGCCTGCTTCACTTTATGTCTGATGAAGGGTAGTGACCCGAAACGTCACATTTTGTGGTGATTATAAAATCTCCTGAGAGCAAAAGCTGTGCAGTCATCTCCATTTCTTTCATTCATCTATTTTTGCCTTTTTGATCACTGCTCAGAATTGGATGTGCGTCAATCTCACTTTTGCTCTTGATTAAAAACCGGCACAATAGGTAAAAACTCTGGTTCGGAATTTTACCTATTGTGCATGTTTTTAGTCGCAAGGGAAACCGGAGCACCCGGATGAAACCTACGCAAACTCCACTCAGAAAGACCCTGTTCCGACTGGGATTTGAACCCAGGACCTTCTTGCTGTGAAGTGAGAGAGCAAACCACTCAGCCACCGTGTATAATGTTTAACTTTTTATATGGTCCAGTTTTGGTTGAATCCAAAATACCTTCATAATGTAAAACAAACATTAATAATAATATATATTTTTTCTTTTGGCGCTGACCAGCTCCTGTTTGTTGCTCGGCCTCGGCCCAGAATAAGTTTGACACGCCCTGACGTAAAACACACCTTTTTTTTTTTAACCACAAGCAACTGTTACATTTCCCCACAGTGCCATAAAGAAAGGATTTCTCCTCATATTAAATAACAACTATAATCAGACGGTGGAAAACCTCAGAGGCTGATTACACAAAACCATTCACAGTTGAGCCTGGCACAAATTAACATCTTAAATTATGAAATTGAGAAGCACAATGATAACTGCTCACATGACTCGCCAAACAATGACTTTGAAGGAGTCTGTAGATGAATAAAAATCTCTCAAAAGGCTCAAAATGTAAAACGCTCAAAGAGTTGGCGTGTTCCAATGGTGCACAAAACAAAGCAGCAGAGGGCATCGCGGCGAGAGCACTTGTTATTATGTGTTTGGAGCTGTTTGTTTTCCACACTAGAAATTCTTTTCGTCTGATCCGGGCTGATTAGAACTGTTTTTTACAAGAGCAGGCCATGGCTCTACCCACTCCATCCTCCGTAGGAAGTCAATCAATCAATGAATCTGTATTTATAGAGAGATTTTCCTCCACAGGGCAACACAAAACGCCTCACAGTCCACAACGCACAAAGTCAAAATCATCACATTAAACAAACGCCAAAAATAATTACCATTTAAAACACAATTAAAATCACACAAGGGTTACAAATAATAAATAACAACAGTGGATTAAAAAGAGTGGAAATAAAATCCTTCAGTTGTAGCACAGGCAAAAATAACCTTTTTGAACATCGCAAGAGAGGAAGTCAGTCTCACATCGATAAGAAGACTTCTGACTTCTGAGTTCAGCAAAACGCCTCTGGTGGAGAAAGGTGGAACTACAACGATCTATAACAATAACTGGATAATAGAGTTACCACAGCGCCCCCTGTAGTACCGCTTAAAGCTGTCCCACCCACGGACACAGGGGGCGCTGTAGTACTACAGACTAAAGTCACAAGGGCTACCCAGAAATGTTCCCCATAGATCTCAATGTAAATTAAAACAGCACGACCTCAGCTGCCCGAGAACCTGACAGAGAACCTGACAGAGAACCTACAGCTTTCACAAAGATCAGATTTTGTGGGGATTTTTGTGTCCCTTGTCATCCTGAACTTTTTTTCTTCTTAAATCTTTCGGTTTTCTTTAAATCTACACTTTACCGCCACAAACTCTGTTCCTTTCCTTCCCGCTCTGACTCCGCTCTGCTGCTGCTTTGATCAGCTCTGATTGGTCAGAGCGCGGCCGAGCTCCTCTGTGCACGTGCATGAGAGCCACACACACGTATTTGCCGCAAAGCATCATGGGAGCTCGTCCACTGCGCAGAACCGGGAGGACCAGACGATGCCCAAATACCATTCATTTGAATAGGACGCCATCTTGGATTACTGGGGCTTGGCGC